ACTTATTACTGCTTAACAAGGGAGAGAGTTAAAAAAAAGTTGAAGCTAAAATATTAATATTATATCGCCTTCTTTGTGAGCAACCGATTAACTCTTACCAGTAAAGTATAGCAAAGAAAACTGGATTCAGTCATAGAAATAGATTAAGAAAATCACAGTTGTGCAGCAGAAAAGATAGCAGCAGCCAGGCTTGCAGAAGGCTGGCAAGTGTCTTTGCTTTCCAGGCCAGGCAGCAATCCTGGAGTGCAACGATAAAGAGTGGGAATGAAAGAAGAGTAAAGGCTGTTTTCTGGTGTCGCCTGATAGCAGTGACCTTAACCCAGGCCAGAAGTGAGGGCCGTGTCAAAACGGCCAGGCACCTCCTAGGGCTACCTGTGCTTCCTTTCAGGGCTGCTTCAGCCTCTTCTCTAGTTCTCCCTGGTAGTCTCAGTTTTGTCCTTTTCCTTCCCCTTTTTCCTCTTTTCACTTCACTTTCTCTCACCCAGCCCAGCCAGTGACTTTGCTGAAGCGTCCCTCTTCCCTGGTCTCTCTCTCCAGCTACCCATAACCACCATCATCATCCGATTCCCGCTGTTCCTGTCGGCACAGGGACCACGTCACTCCTGCCTGCGCGGTCACGTTGCTGCCTGATTCCTATTGGCTCCCATTGCCCATTTCCAAGTGCTCAAGTCACCTCATTCCTACTCGTCACTGGTCTCTTCCTAGTGCTGCCATCACTCCTCTCTGTGTTCCAAACTGCACCCTCCAAAAACTTCTTGCTGCCCCATTCCCAGGCTCCTGCCGAAGGACTGTGGCCCTCAGTGTGCTGCAGAGAAGCAAAGTTTGCTCTGCACCCCCCTTAAAACCTGGGCTGAAGATGACAAGAGTTTCCTGGGGAGGACATTGGAGTGGGCTGAGTGTTATCCAGCTGGCAGGGGAAGCAAAATGCCTCAGTCCTGGGTCAGGTGCAAACCCAGCTGCATCCTCTTTCCCCAGCAGCCAGGTCTCATCTATAACACAGGGTACACAAGGTCTTTCCCTGTTTTACCTTTTTCCTTCCTCTTTGCCATTTCTTTCCTTAGTTTTCCTGTCTCTGGAAGGTCCTGGAGACACGGGAAACAAGTGCTTGCTGCCCATTCCCACTTCCAGCTCTTCCCATGCGGCTGCTGAGGAAGCCCCTCATTTTCAGTGGTTGTGCCCTGCCAGATAGTTCTTTTCTGGTAAACTGCTTTGAAATCTTCCTGAAAGGAACTATGTGCTGAACTTCAGGCAGCACTTAACACGCTCACAGTACCATTCTCACTGCCACGCTTACGTTAGCCCCTTCCTTCCCCTCGCCAGCATCCTCAGTTTCCTTAGAAAGGTCGTTACTCACCACATGCCTTTTGTGTTGCAGACACCACTTGTGATGTGTGAACAAAGGGCAACCACCGTAGGAAACAAGATCTATAAAAAAGGGGGGATTCCACCTACCCTGCTTTGCACAAGAGAAAGCAAAGAGAATCATCCTCTTACCTGTGAATGAGCCTAGTAAGGAGGGTAGCACAAAGGGACTTTGAGAGGGGGATGGAAAGAGAAAGCTTGAGGTCCCCCTGGACCTTTTCCTGACCATTTGAGGGGTATTACAACCAGGAAAGCAGCAGGTGAAGCACAGCCTCTGAGCTATATGTTCCCTGGAGGGTCTTGGGTAAAAATTCAACCCCTAACTCACCCTGATGTGGGGCCCTGGGCTTCTTGCCCTTTCCAAGCTTATATAACTGGACTCAAACACCTTCAGGAGGCCAATTTGCCCCAGCTCATTAACTGGTGGGGTAATTCACCTGGGCAGCATGTGACAAGCAGTTTATCTCTGGTCTTCTCTGCCTTTGGAGGTTTGGATCATTTACAAATGGTCATAGTAGCTAAATTTACACCATGCGTTTCTTACAAAAAAGATGAGGCAGCTTTATATGGATAGAAAGACACTTATAGGTTTTGTTTTAGCTTGTAAGTAAAAAAACATTAGAAATGGACTAAAAAAATCCTCAGCTGAGCTGAGTGGAGGAGTCCCGCTGGCAGCAGTGCAGCATGTGAAATGTGTTGGATCCTGAGCGCAGCGAGGGGGGAGCATTCGCACCTCGGCTTGCAGCTCTTCACAGCTACGGTGCCTGGTGCTCTTGCCAGGAAATCTTTCTTTCAGAATTCGTGTGCCCACGCGGTTGGTTGTTCCTAAATAAAACAGTGATATCCCTCAGTGGAACTTCTGAAGTCAGTATTTGGCGGCAAAATGACCCTTTTTCGTCCCTGAAAGCACGTGGAGCCCATACAGTTGGTGGTGCTGGATGCTTTATTTAGGCCAGGGTTTGCACCTCACCTCAAGTACTTCTCAGCCCTTCCACAACACAGGAAGGTTATGCAAATAGCTGCTCAGAGAAACCATTTGCAGCTTGTGACAAGTTTTGCTGGTTTACTTACCGAACCAAGAAACAATGCTACCTCTTTTTGACTAATATCTACCCTGATAGTATGTCCAAAAAAACTGGTCTCTCAGAAAGAAGTGGAGCCACTTTTAGTACCTGTCACCCTCGAAATGCCTGTTGGCTTTACTGGCTTTTCCCTTGTTTCTTGTGATTCCACAAGGATTTTCTTCTCTCTCCTGCAGTTTCCTTCAGGACAGTCCAGTGCCTTGGCAAATAGCTGATGCCTCAAAGCATGAGATACAATCACTTTGTTTTTTAGCACATGGAAATACAGACGTTATTCATAATAGTTAAACTACCTAGCAGCCCAAAGCAGGGAATGCTAGAAAAGCCTTCCGGAAAGCATGTACTGCCTGTGATCCGGAGGCTGCTGTGACTCACGCGGGGGATTTCGCATGGGAATCATTCTGAGCAGGCATGGGAGAGAGGCCTTCCAAACCACTCTCTTGTTCAGATACTGTGAAAGAGCAGCGAGAAAGATAAAATACTTCCATGAGGGCAGCAAAGCAACTGGGAAAGCAGCCTGTGCCTTCAGGCTATTGCTATGAATAGAAAAAGAGCAGCTCAGAGCCAACATCCTTTCGTGCAGCGTGCGAGCCACGGATCATCATGTCAGAACGGTCACAAAAACACCGGGCTGGGGAGACTCACCCCGAGAAACGGTTCTGCATGTGCAGGAAACGCAGGCTCTTCGTATGCGACTTGGGAAGAGCCGTGTACGCAGTGTGTGAGCCTACACGTGCATCTATAGGATGCGAGCACATGTGCATGGTGTCGAGGGGGCATTTGTGTACATGCTCAGTGTGCTTTTAGGGTGGGCGCCAGTACGTGTGGGTTGCAATGTGTGTAAAGCAGAACGTGCCTACGTGGCTGGCACCAATTCCCACGAGTGCTTAGCAGGAGATTGGAGCTGTTGCTGTGCCCAAGGAGCCAGCCCTGTGCAGATGGA